CCCCAAAACCCCAAAACCCCAAAACCCCTTTCAATAATAATTTAATTGAATTTGGCTCTTAAATTTAAATGGAAGAGAAGGAGAAGACCAATAAAAGGTAAAAATCATAAATTAGAAGAATTAAGAGATCCGTTAAAAGCTTTTTAGAAGTAGGATTAGATACGTTTTGAGGGAATATGAGCATTTTTATTTAAAATTTGGGATAAAAGGAGTATAACCTCTTTAGGTCTAAAAGGAAAAAGAAGAAGGATAAGAATACAAAAAGTCAAGAGAATTATTTCAAAACTATTAGAGCTATAGGTAAATCTTTCATCTTTAATTATGTAGTGGAGGGGAAGACAGTCACAATCATAATGTTTTTAAACACCTTATTTGCTCTTGTAGGCGATGACATTCGCCTATGGCTATTCACTAAAGATTTCGACTTGTATTTCAATATATTGTTTGCTATAAGTCTATTACTCTTTGTGCTTGAACTTCTGTTCAACTCTTTGATCAGATCAATTTACGCAGAACCAATCTTCTTCTATCTGGACATCATAGCTACTTTAAGTTTAGTTCCTGATGTAGAATGGCTAATGTTACTTCTCACAATTTGAATTGACAGACCACCTGAAGCTGAAAGCAATGACATAGCTCTAGGCTCAGTTGTCAGCTCCTCAGCTGCCAGTGGAAGAGCTCAAAGATTGATCAAATCAATCCGTCTAATCAGACTTATTCGGATCATCAAACTTTACAAATATGCTGTGAAATCAAATACTGAAGAAGAGGAGGCAAAACTTAGAGAACAAAAGAAATTGTCCCAAACTGCCCAGCAAGCTGCCTTGAAGAGAGAAATCGAACCCAGTCGTCTTGGAAAAGTAATGTCTGACACTATCATCAGAAAAGTGATCATTGGGATCCTAATCATGCTAATGGTACTTCCTCTCATTACTTATGCTGGAATTGATTACACCATGGAGTATGGCTTAGACAAAATATTCTGGTTTGGAAGAAGCAACTGTAACATTATCGGAGGTGACTTCTACTGCACTCGAGATAACTGGCTAACTCAAGATGGCTGGAATGAAATTCTCTACTTCTTCTCAGACAGCACTAAAATCAACGAAAATGATAATAAAGCAACTAATTTACTCTGGCTCTACGCTCCTGATTACTCTCAAAATGGAAAAATGGCTGAAATCACATCAATTCAAAGAAATGACGAGCAAGTCTGGAAGCAAAATGATGAATGTGCTGGATTCAAAATTTCAAATAAAAATTGAAAATACCGCACTGATGAACTTGAAGTTGTCAGCTTTATACCTCAAATATGACAAAAGGAGTGGAAAGATGACTGCAAATATTTGGTTTCATATGCAAGATATTCTATTAGAGATGCTGTGGTGAATGAGGCTATTTTACAATTTGCTACAACAGTCTTTACATGCCTTATTATTTCTGTAGCAAGTCTTCTTTTCGCAAGTGACACTCAAAATATCATTGTAAAGCCTATAACAAAAGTTGTGAAGATCATCCTGAGATTTGTTGATGACCCACTTCAACAGCCTGATCCTCCAAATACCTTCGAAGATGACTTAAAAGATTCTACTTCTAAGTACTTAAAGACCACAGAACTGGAGAAAATAATTTATCGGATTGGAACTTTGCTTCAAATGTCCTTTGGGCATCTTGGTGCAAACATCATCAGGGAAAATGTTGTACTACTTGCAACCACAAAGAACGACAACTCCTTGGAGATCATGAAGGCTGGGAGAAGGATTGATGCTATCTTCATGGTCTGTAGCATAAATTATTATAGCTCTATCCTAGAAACTCTTAAGGAGAATTCAGTTGTCTACATCAACAAAGTTGCCAAGATCGTTCATCAATGAGTTCACCAATGGGATGGGTCAATCAACAGGAATGATGGGGAATATTATCTACTCACATGGAAGCTTCCAAATATAGAAGGAGGAGAGCATGAGAAAAACCAGACCTTACAGAAAATGAAGACTGAGCTTGCTGATAAATCCCTCATCGCTGCTGTGAAGGTCATCGCTGAGCTTAGGAGATCCAGCGAACTTATTCCTTACTATCGAAACCCGAACCTAACCAATGCGATTGGTAGGAACATAGACTCTTGAGTCTCCTTTGCTATTCACCAAGGGTCTACTATCGAAGGAGCTATTGGCTCAGAATACAAAATAGATGCTTGTTACTTGTCTCCTCAGATTGCTGTGACTTATAGGATTCAGAGATTATGAAAACATTATGATATGCCGATCTTGATCACAGAGAATCTCTATAACTTAATGTCCCTGAAAGCGAGATACACTCTAAGAAAGATTGATGTGATTGTAATGAAGGAAAGTCAAGACCCAAAAGGAATATTTTCTTTCGATGTGAGTTACACTAGTCTTGATAACACTGAGAATATTCCTGAAGATCACCAGACTGGAGAGCTTATCAAACTAGAGCAATACGCTAATATTAATATTGAAGGATTTAAAGATCAAGGGGTTGATTACATGTTTACGCTAGATAATGATGTCGTAGAGTCTCAGTCAAATATTCAAGAATTCAATCCTATTTTTAGACAATTATTCAAATGCTACATTGCTGGTGAATGGGGAGATGCATTTGAGTGCATCCAAAGATGCCTAGAATGTTGGGAAGATGATGGACCAACCAAGGCAATCCAGTTTTATCTCTCAGCTTTCCAATATCAACAGCCCAACCAATGGAATGGTTATAGAAATATTGAAGATGATCTGAACAAGATCTATAGAAGTAGGATCAGAGCTCAACAGCTTGATGAACAAAGTCAGGAAGATTCTAAGAACCAAAAGAACGAGCATGTATCCCATGGAAGACTCTCCGTCCTACACAGAGAAGCTTCCATGGAAGAGTCTAAGGAGAATCGGGTAAATATATCTGCTTAACATCTAGAGCGCCTACAATAGAAATGAGCAAAGCACTGATTTTATAGGACTAGATTCCAAGACAGGGACCATTAATTCAAATATCACAGATGTCAACTAAAAAATTTAATTTTGGGGTTTTGGGGTTTTGGGGTTTTGGGGTTTTGGGGTTTTGGGGTTTTGGGG